ATACCTTTTTTTTGGGGGGGGGTGGACGTTGGAGAGTAAATAACAACCGCTTTTCAGAAAAATCTGTTAAAAGTAGCTGCTATAATCTGAATGGAATGCCTTCTTTTGAGCTTAAAGCTTACTTCGCAGCCATTTAGCAGGGTTCTAATGCATTTTATCCACCCCTCTGCCCCCCCCAAGTCTGGTTTCTAATCCAGGCCGAATGTTTTGCTTTGCTGCTTTTTTCCCCCTTTTTTCTGACCGCTGCTGTGTGTTGAGCAGAAATTTCCACTGAGCAGTTTATACAGTAACGCCTAAGACCTTTTTCTTTCCCCTCCTTTCCCTGGACTGGCTAATTTAGAAATAGGACCTGTGGATATAAACGTAAGTTCTCTCTGCTGCCTGACCTGTGTTCCTTCATGCATCGTATGGGGAGCTGGCTTTTCTAGTGCCAGAAAAATAGAAGCTGTCCTGAACCAAATGAGTATGGCATGGATTTATCTCTCTTGATGCAACACTCAAAAATCTCTTAATATTATTTCAACCATATATTAACATCCTGGGAAACCCTGCAACCAGGTCACCGTGAAAACTCATGTATTCACTGTAGTTGAGCAACCAACTGCAATATCTCTACTCTCTTGGTTTCTAAAAGCCAGCTCACATATTAAAGCAAATGCGTATTTCTTCCTCTTTACCCATGCAAATATTTCAGTCCTAAGGAACCAGCCATGTATACAAAGCTCTAGTATTTTCTACTGGATCCATTGCAATGCAAGTAATATATGCCAAATGAGGACTTGCACAATTTTGTGTTTGAAGGAGCAGACCATTTTTCCCTTTTAAAGGTGCACTGCTTCTAGATACGGAATCAGCATCTCTTCTAGTGAGGCCCTTAGTATTCTTGATCCTTAAACTGGGCTTGAATTGGGGAGGGGGAATTCTGTTTTAAAAAAGATGGCTTCATAATGAGGAAAGACCTCTATAAAGTAGGATTTACAGCCACCCTACTTTCATCATCACTAGCAGTCACCTATTTATAACTGTATTCGGCATGCATACTTTTTTGTCCCAAACATGCACACTCTTTCCCCCAGATATCAGGGAGTATGGGGAGCGCCACTGATGGTGCTTTAAAAAGGAAAGAATTTAGAAACCTATAGTTTGGAAAGAGAAAACACATTTATCACAGTATACATGTCGACACTAAAAATACCATCTTTCTCCCATGAAGCAATGCCTTTTTTTAAAAAAAGATGTGGGCAAAACAACAGCAAACCAAGCTGAACCGGGAGGGAGAGACAGACACTTACTTACCTGTGAGCTAGCAGCTCGGATCTTCAGGGACAAACCACCTTGGTAAACCATGACCTTTCCTGAGTTTGATAGTTACCGAGAGAGCCGGGCATCAAGAGTCGCAGCCCGCACTGTTGTGTAGGAACCGAAGCTGCCTTCTTGATTTGCCAAGGCCGGCTCCTCCTGCCCCTTCTCTCCCTTCAAGCTTAGCTGAGATCTTTTGCTGTTGAACCTCCGGGCTCCCCCATCAGCCTGTCGGCTCCGGTTGCAGGTTCGGAAGAAAACGGCAGCGGTTCTTTGCGCACCCGCATTGTCGAGGTTTCAGGGGAGCATACCCATGAGTGGTTTTCACAGCTACTGAAAAGAAAAGCTAGGTGTAAATCAGAAGTATGCTTCGACAGAAACAGTGTCTTTTTTTAAAAAAGCCAACAATATGGTGTTAGTTTCTTATGGAAGTGGCTGCTATTCACCCCACTCATTCTTCATTAGCATCTTATTTATACAGTAGGCCTTTTTTTTCCTGCAACACACACACACACACAGAGGACTCTGAAATGCATTGTCGCCTCCATACTACGAACAAAAAGAGCTTTCTGTCCGGCTGGGGTCTTTATATAATGTGTGTTTCTTGAAACTAAACAGCTTACTGTGGTGTTGTGTAAGAAGCCTACAATTTTGGCATAAATCAGCTTTGCTTGCTGGAGTTGTATTTTTTGGGGGGGGAGGGGAGGGGGAAGGAGAGGTGTGTGTGTGTGTTGTGTGAAGGAGATGAATGAATGAATGAATGCTTTGTTTAGAAAAAAAATAATTGCAAGCAGGGGAAGGTTGAGCACATTTATGAACGTGCCGGAATTCTGTGCAAATCGTCGGTCTCCACCTCCTCATAAGTGCGTTTCACAGAAAGAAAGCCCCCCCCCTTTTTTTTGCTGGTCTCTCTACGGATGTGTCTTGCAAAATCTGTCTCAGCAAAAAAATGGGGGGGGGGAATTCATGTGTAGAAAGGTCATTTCCATTCTGAAAAACTCAAAAGGCAATATTCTGAAATTGCTTTTTTTAAAAAGCTCAAAAGTGGTCAAGAGGAATTATGGACAGGCTTCAGGTTTGCAGGATCTACCTTGGGTTTTTCCTCAGATGGTGAAGCAAGAAACAAAATGGTGGCTCAGGAAGGATCAGGGCTTTTGAGAATGTCACAGGAGGTGACCCGTCCTGTAACATTGCAAAATATCCTGTGTGGGTATGGATGTGTGAGAAGGTGAGACAGACGGTGTGGATTTCCTACACTGCACAATAAACAAATATCAACATGCACAACATAGATAAAAACACCTTTGCAGTGAGACCTGGTCCCCGTTCAGAGTGAGAGATGAAATCTCCCAGTCTAGAAATGGTGCTCCCTCAAATGGCAAAAGAGGTCTGTTTGTCAAGACATGAAAGCCACCAGATACAGTGAAATTGAACTTTCTTTTCCTCCAGCTCTGCTCACCCTGAGGTTTTTCTCCCTGCTTAGAGCTTTGGAGAAAACAGATCAATTTCTCAAGAGGTCAGCCAGTGCCCTGTGGCCTGGCAAACTGTTAAACTCAACATTTGTTCCACCTAATATTGCTTCTCCATAAAGAAAATAGGAGGCCTTCTGCTCTAGAAGCTCACTCAACTGGAGTTGGCCGGATGTGGCCAACCTTTGCCAAAAATTACATATGCTACATATCAGATCCTTGAGCTGGGTGGTCCGGGTCTGTTCACTTTGGCTTGTATTCCACGTGCAGCCAAATGGGGTGGGGGCTCCTGGTGTAAGTCAGAAGGCAAACTCCCATTGATACATACACAAACATACAGCAGGAATTCCTCTGCCTAAATTATCTCCTTAACAGGGATTGCTAGAAAGCAGACCCTTTTTTTCAGATTCTTGCCAGCTAACTTTGGGTTCTCCTTGGTGAATACAAAACATTTCAAAGGTTTTCGCCCTTCTGGGTGAAACGACAAGGGTCTTTGCCCATTTTTCTGCATTTCTGGACCGACTTCCCCATATATTTTCAATGTGTTTTGTGCAAAACACAAGGGTTTCCCACCCCCATAAATCGCAAGGTTTACCCTCCATTCCCTTTCTTCTTAAGGTGGTCGTCACATGCGAGCCGTGTCAGGGTTTGGTTCACTCAACGGGATCCTTCCAAATCACTGTCACAATGGATAAAAAGGTGACTGTTTCACAAGACTAGGGAATAAACGGCGAAAGATCTCCACCATGGGTGGGACGGGGAGAGAATGAGGCCATCGGCTGAAGAAATACAAGGAGGGTTGGCATGGAGAGGGGCAAACACACCCAGAAGACATCTGCCAGATGATTCATGCGAGCAGGTCAAGCACATGCCAAAATGTTTTCATATTTTGAGCATGGCTTTCCAAGACTGAGCAGTCTAATGAGAGGGGGAAAATATATATATATCCATCTCCATTCCAGTAGCACCTTTACTTGCGCATAGTTAAGATTCTGGACAATGTAAAGATCATGGCCAGATTCCTATTCATGATTATAATAATTGTCTGCCATCAGGTCAGTTCTGACTTATGGAGACCCTTTACAGAGTTTTCCAGGTAGAGCGTACTCAGACGTGTATTACCATTCCCTTCCACTAGGGGTGCTGTGGGACTGTGCAGCCGGCCCAAGGCCACCCAGGCTGGCTCTTCTCCCAGAAGGCACCCAGTGGAAGAATCCATCTCCGGACCGTCTGACAAATATGGCAGCACTTTAAAGACTAATGCAGGCTGGAAAGTGCAGTGGTTTCGACATTGGGAGTTTGATTCCTCACTTTGGAGAAGAGCCAGCCTGGGTGGCCTTGAGCCAGCTGCACAGCCCCAGGGCTCCCCCTAGAGCAGTGGTGCCCCAACCTTGGGCCTCCAGATGCTCTTGGACTTCAACTCCCAGAAATCCTGGCCAGCAGAGGCGGTGGTGAAGGCTTCTGGGAGCTGTAGTCCAAGAACATCTGGAGGCCCAAGGTTGGGGACCACTGCGAGGAAGGGAATGGGAAGCCACTTCTGAGTCTTCATTACCTAGAAAACTTTGAAAAGGGTCACCCTAAGTCAGAATGGACTTGACGTCACATGCTGATTATGGTTATTATTAAAGACAAACAGCTTCCTTAGGTCTGAGGAAGTGGATTTTGATCCAGAAAAGTTCATCCAGAAATAAATATATCTGTTACCTTTTCAAGGGCCACCACATTTTGTGTCCTTTGCCCGCTTCTCTCTCTCTCTTTCTTTTTCTCCCTTTTCATGTCGCCAACAGGCTGAGACAGACTCACCCGTCCCGTTTCTTTGGACCTTTCTTTAACGTGATGCTGCCATCGTGTGATCAGAACAGAAAATGGCAAGGGGGAGATTTCTCTCCTTCTAGGTACCCAAGACTTTACTCCGTTACTCCGTCTCGCCCCGTTTGGATGCTCTCAGCCAAAACCAGGAGGCCCATCTGCCTCGCCAGGGCAGGGAGCTGGGGAACCTTTGATTTTCAGGGGTTGTGTAAGACACCTTGTTGTGCTCTGCCTCTGAAATGTACATCTTGTGTTGCTGTCCATCTGCTTTCAAGGACAGGGACTTGACAAGTACTAGATTTTTGGAAATTCCGTGTGTGTGTGTGTGTGTGTGTGTGTGTGTCTGTGTATGTGTGTGTGTGTGTTTTCTTGCTTCTTTCCCCCTCTCACCCATGAAAATGAAAGAAATGGCAAAGCATCATCTGTGTTCTGATAGCCATTTATTCCATTTTTATCCCACTTCTTTTTCTTACAAGAGCACAAACAAAACAGCATCTCTTAATTTTAAAGTGTGGGCGCTTGTTCTGTGGACGTCTCTGTGTGGAGTTCACAGTTTTGGGCTCTGGTCTCCTCGGAGGGCGGCTTCGGTCTATCCAACATGGTGGCAGAATTGCTGCTAGGATTGCCAACAACGATGAGCCAGTGATTCTTGTCTTCCTCCGCTTTGTGGGTGTCCAGGTAGGTGCGGCAGTTGACTTCATATTCCTTGCCAAAGTACGTCCTAGAAAACAAGAGAAGGTTTTTGCTGATGGGCAACCACACACAGACACACACAAACAGACACATGCACACACACACACACACATAGAGAACCTTGTAAATCTGCACCTATCCCTGCTCTCTGCTATTTTGTTATAGTTAATAAAATAAAAAAAATTCAAAAGGAAAAAAAAAAAATACAATGCCCCCTTTCCTTTCTTAGCTATACAAGCTCACTCGTGTCTTATTGTGGCCAGTTTTTGGTGCACTTATAAGAAATAGTGCTTGAACTGGGGGGGAAAAAGCTTTATCTGTAATGCTCGATGTGATGCCAGTCTGTTCTTACACAGCTTTCTTTCCACAAAATGAGTGGCGGATAAAAATCGGGGTGGTGTAGAGATCCTTGTTGAAATTAACCACTTCGCATCTCACCAAAATAATGGGTTTAACCAAAGGAGCTGAATCTCTAGTTACAAGGAGCACGTGCTTCACCTGGGACCAATGAATACAAAAATGTGCACTTCTGGAAAATGTGTGCATAAGGTAAAGTGTGTATTGCAAAAGTTGCCTATGGCTAAAGTACGCAAATTCCGAAGCATGAGGGAGTGGAGAATGGGTCACAAACTGATACAAACTAAGAACGGGATGGGAAGGGAGGTGAGATATCCTGGATTGTCCTGACCAGATCATCATTTCCAGGACACTTTAAGTAAAGCTGTCAGGAGTTAAAACTAGCATAGCCTGTGTATGTTGTATTGTGTACAGTTGCTGCAAAGACTGAAATTCATTTACCTGAGCCAAAAATTTCTCGGAACTGCCAGTCCCTGGTTCGTATGGCAGTGAACAATGAGGATCTTTGAATTTGCCTGGGGGAAAAGAAGAAGAAAAGTGAGCCGTTCTTGGGGGTTTTCATTTTTCCCATGATTTTTGCACAGATTTCTCCTGGGCATCAAAGCCAGATCAACAGACATCATTGTAAAGAGGAAAGACGACAGTCCTCCAAACCTTTTCGAAGGACTTTTCCCAATGATCCCCATGAAACAAAGCAACACAAGTGGATACAAGAGAGAGAGAGAGAAAGATTGAGAGAGCACCAGTTCAATTTAGGAACTTTTGATTTGGTGCTCTTGGTGGCAGTTTTACCTTCCATTTTATTATGTCCTACACAAGGTTTGGTTTGTCTTGTATTTCTATGTTCCACTTGATTCTCGCTCCATCTTTTCTTGTATACAGTGGTGGTGCCTCGCAAGACAAATGCCTCGCAGGAAAAAAAAAAAAACTCGCAAGACAAATGGTTTTAGCAACGGGGGTTGATGACTTGCAAGACAAATGTTCCTATGGCCGTGCTTTGCAAGAAGAATGTTTTCTGTTTTTGTTCCTGCCTCATGTTTGCTGATTTTTAAATGTTTTTCTATGATGTTTAAAAAAATTAAAGTTTTTTGACTGAAATTTTTTAAATCATGTGCACAATATGTATGGCTTTAAAGAGCACTTAACAAACCCTTTGTAAACCAAATTTGACTTTGTTCTGGCTTTTTTTGCCCATAGGAACGCATTAATTAGATTTTATTGCATTCCTATGGGAAAATGAGTTTCACAAGATGAATTTTTCGCAAGACAACATTAACCGCGGAACAAATTAAATTTGTCTTGCGAGGCACCACTGTACTTTGTTTTTCATGGTACGTTGGCCAAAGAAGGCCACACCTCTGACTTGAGTCAAGGGTAGACTTGCTCTGCAGTCATTCAACCTTTGGAGGAAGTTAAGGTGAAGCCACTGGCACGAATCCTCGGGGATGTAGGTCTAGCACCCTATGGGTGAGGATTGGGGGACCATCGTCATCAACATAATCCTAACCTCCACTTTGCTCTGTCCTCATAACTTCCTTCTTGTTCATGCAGAGGTTATGTCAGCTTTGAAGGCTGCCTCTGAAGACAAGAGATGTCATCTACGAAAACTTGTGTCCAGAGGAAGACCCTCCACTAGCCAGAAGGTTGGGAGGGTGTCCTCTCGGGACAGAAAGACTTTTCAGAAACTCCAAGGGAGGCTTGCTTTTTTGAATAAAAGTCCCTTTAGGAGAGACATCGGGTGCCACCTAAAGTTTGGAGAAGGGAACCGAAGCCTCCTGGAGTTCAAGCACAGACCAAATGCAACAAGGAGGCTAAGTGGGGCTTACGTATTAGAGCGGTGTGAGGTTTTTAAAAGCTTTGTCTCATTTCTTACAGGCACTGGGAAGCCTTCATATTCCAGGCGGAACTGGGGGTCCAGGAAGGTTGCTTGCCAAGACGCCAGGTAAGAAAGTTCATCGGTCATGAACACAGGCTGGCAGCAGGATTTCTTCGCCATGTTCAAGAACGTCCTGTGGTCGCTCGCAAGAAACAGCTGGAAAACGGAAACAGAAAGGAATGACACGTGGGACTACAGTGAGACAGGCAATGGAAAAGAGCCACACAGATACCGGGGTGGTTATAGAACAAGTCCAAGGGTTGTGTTTACACCGCAGTGTGAGACCCGGAAGGTCACAGGCGGCGTGGCTCAGTTTGCAGATCTGGCAGTCAGAGCTGGGGATGAAGTTTTCTGCATCTTCTGGAAATTAGAGGTGATGTACAAACACCACTTAAAGTCTGAACCTGTGTCAGAAACAGGAATCCTACCCAAAGCTACATTATCCATTCTGTGCATAGAAATTTCAGCAGGACACTGGCCACCGCCTTTCAATAGTGGCAATTTTTGGAAATTAAAGCCTTCCCCCCCCTCTCTCTGACACACACACCCCACAGCAACCCATGACTTCCCCATGATGAAAGGGATCCCTAGGGAACCTGAGGATCATTAGGGTGGGTGGAGAATCAAAAACTTCTAATTTATAGAAACACACACAAACGTAACTTTTAAGAAGCAAAAAAAACATTAGGGTGGTGATCGTGTGTGGGGTTTTTTTCTTCCTTCTTTCATTTTTTGTACGAGCAACCAACCTGTTCTTTGGTGTTTGGTGAGTGCAAAGGGAAAAAAAAGATGCTGGAGCGTCATTTTGTACAAGTGGCAGGAAGTGCTTGGCATGGCGATCTTGCCTTTGGTAGTATAGTTTTGTAACCTTGGGTCTCCAGATGTTCTTGGGCCGCATCTCCCAGAAATCCACAGCTAGTGGTGAAGGCTTTTGGGAGTTGTAGTCCAAGAACATCTGGGGACCCCAGTTTTGGGAACCACTGAGCAAAAGTCAAGAGGGCTCATAGGAGTTGAGATTCCTTGACAAGTTGTCTTAATCATGACAAGTTCGGCCTATTTGGACCTCAAATGAGACATTGGTAAAAATTTCTTCGCGTTCCCAAAATTCAGAACGCCATCTAAGTGACCCAGACTTTCCCATAAGAGGAAGAGGACAAAAAAACATGTGCAGGATATAATCCTACTTGCTTGATGAATGAGGTGTAGTATGGAGGAATATTAACAGTATCCGTTTCAGTTCTGGGCGAATAAAAAGTTACAGATTCGTCTGCACAAAATTAGGATGTTGAAAGTTTGGATCCACTCCAGTTCTTTTCACCTCTCACATGGGCAAGAACCCAAAAGTACAGAAATGAACCCTATACAAGTCCAGGAATGTTTTGTAGCCCACAGGTTGTATGTCTGTGCTGCTCTGTTACGTTCATTCGTTCTTTCGTTTGTTCGTTCATTGGTTCGTTCATTAGATTGACCGACCACCCCATTAATGCACTCCACTATTCCAGGCGGTTTACAACCGTGGTGACTAAAACACATACCATCAACTGCAAAGAGCGAAAGACAGAACAAAAACGTTAAAAACAGCGAGCGGGGTTTTCTCTCCATCAAGCTACTTACCAGGCGGTTAGAAAACCCTCCTGCCGTTCCAAGGCCAAAGTTCTGCCCAAACCGAACAGGCTCGCCCATTGCTTCCCCTTCAAGGCTTTAATAAACACAGAGAATTCAGAAGCACTGGAAACAAAAGGGGAAATGAACCGCGCCCCTGAATTTGAACCCGGATTAGGGGTAGAAGCCGATAAAGCAATAATCTATGGACCCCTTTCTGCATCATAGGGTGATGGACTGTCTTTCTGTTCAAACTGTGGTTGCAATTGCTGCATCTTTTCCTGCCCGAAGACTTGCATTATGTCAAATGTCCTATTTTATATATAGTTTGAACAGTTTGAACAGAAAGACAGTCCATCACCCTATGATGCAGAAAGGGGTCCATAGATTATTGCTTTATCGGCTTCTACCCCTAATCCGGGTTCAAATTCATATATTTTCTCTCCTTTTTCGGTAGTTGGCCACCCTCCTTTCCAAGGCAGAATGCCACTGGGACTTTGTGCAAATAATCCGGTTGTCGTATTATGTGCCCCAGTTGCATGCTGGCTCAGGACAAGATTTTTGGGTGGCTGCTTCATTTCCCTGGGGGCGGTCGATGATATGGGGGGGCAGGATCATCAACAGAAGCAGATGTGGTCCTCCTTCTTCTGGCATTTCATGGCTCCGTATTCCTTTTATCAGCCTTCTCTCTCCCCCACCTCCAAAAAAAGTTGCTCGCTTCCCCCTTCCCACCTTGCCTACTAGGGTGGGGGACAGAGGGACAAAACCCTGTGGCCAAGAACAGAGTGGCCACACAACCTGCTTTGCAGAGGGTGGTCCTCTATTTAAGAGCACATTCTCTTTGGAGGACTGTGTGCTGAAGTCTGGTTTAGAGATAGGGGGAAAAACACATAAAGAAATATGGAACAGGCCCATCCACAGCCAGATAAGGGACTGAAAGGCACATCTACATATTACCCGGTCAATTTTCCCCATTATGGCGAAATGCCAGCAAATTGTAGTAATCCTAAATTTGCATCCATAATAGTATTAACATGCAAAATCAAAGCAAATGGGCCTTTCCTTTTCTCCCCCTAGTGATTGGCATTCTCTTTGAATGCCACCCTAAACACCAGCCCGAGCACAGATGGTCCACAGATGGTCAAGCCTTCAGTAGACAGCTGCCCCTGTTATATCGAGAGTGACTTCTATTTTCTCTCTCTCTCTCTCTTGAGGAGGAACGCTACATTTCAAAGACATCGGCCAGGGTTCTGCAAAGCCTCTCACCTTAAAATCCGAAACGTGTTGCGGCCAACGGGTGTCATGCTCCTGATGGCGCTTGTCTCGCAGGGGACGGGGAGCTCTGGACGTAGATGGATGGATGCTTCATCGGGATTAACAGCCAGAGACAGATTCCCACGTGCGTTAGGTTCACTCTGGGTGAGGGATCTGCTGTTGTCTGGATTCACCAGCATGACGGTGTCTCCAAAGTGAATAAACCCATCTTTCGAAACGGAAAGCTCCTCCTGTTTCAAAGAGGAGATATTTATCCATCCATCCATCCATCCATCCATCCATCCATGGATCCATCCATCCATCCATCCATCCATCCATTTTACTTATATACTGCCCATCTAGAACGTGTCTTGTCCATGCTTGTGTACAACCCACCGATTCAACGCATCTGCTCTAGGTGGGACTAAGAACTGGATTTGGGCTGGAGCCCAAACTCTAGTGGCACCACATCCATCCATCCATCCATCCATTTAACTTACATACCGCCCATCTAGAACGTGTCTTGTCAATGTCTGTGTCCAACCCACCGATTCAATGCTTGTGTCCAACCCGCCGATTCTGTTCTAGGTGGGACTAAGAACCGGATTTGGGCTGCAGCCCAAACTCTGGTGGTACCGTGGGCTTCCTGGATTCTCGACTTGAGTGAGGAATCCCCTGGCCACTCTGTCTGTCCAGGAAGCTGAGCTCCATCGCAGAACAAAGAGGGCAATAAATGTAAAGGTGAGCCACATAATAATAATAATAATAATACTTGAATACCTTCTTATAAAGGTGATCTCTCAGCCTTTGTGATCTCTGGATTAAAAGTTCTCCTCTTTCTCTTTTGTATAAGAAGTCTTTCAGGAATTCCTAAAGGAAGGAAGGAAGGAAGGAAGGAAGGAAGGAAGGAAGGAAGGAAGGAAGTTTGGTTAATATGGTGTTTGTCTTACAGGTACTACATGTTGAAGTGTCATTGTCACATTCTGTTATGTTACTTCTGACATGGTAACTCTAAGAAGGTGACCCCACACTTTGTGTTTGCAACCAGGTCTCCTGAGCCTCAGTCCATTGCTGTAGCTACCGCACCGTATGGGCTTCCAGATGAACGATACAGATGCTGGAACTGCTGAACTTCACTGTAATGAAGGAGAAGATGGGGCAAAAAGGAACATATGGGACTCTCAAATTAGGCTAAAGGGAAGGGAAATAAGAGCCCAGAGATTTGAACAAAATGGGGATGGATGGGGTGCAAAGGGCCATTACCAAAAATGACCAAGGACCCTCTGATCCTCATTACTGAATGCTTGTGATTATTCAAAGAAAGGGTGTGTTCTACACACACAGAAGTGCTTTTCTCTTCCATCATCATTAGCCGGTTTATAGGAATCATCTTCTTGTTATTATGTGCTGTAAAGTCAGAACTGGCCTATTGCAACCCTCATAGGGCTTTCAAGGTAAGGGAGGGATTTAAGGAGTGGTTTTACCAGTTCTACTCCCCCAGTGGGTTTCCATGGCTGAGTGGGGATTCGAACCCTGTACTCCAGAGTCTGAGTCCATCACTCTATTCACTACACCATACTGTGCATTCATTTTACACGAATCATAAAACTGCACCATACTGTGCATTCAATTTACACAAATCATAGAACTGTATAACTGAAGGGGACCCAAAAGGCCATGAAGCCCACCCCACAACAAAGTAGAGAATCAACAGCTAGAGCATCCCCAAAGTATTCAAGTAGGCCCATTGAATCAGTGGGGGTTCGGTGAGTCAACTCATCTGTAAAATCCATTGATTCAAATGGGCTTACTCATGACCTACTAAGCTAAGCAACAGGATTTTGGCTAAGGCTGGATTTTGAAACTTTAAAGCCTAACCCAAAAAAGGATTAAAATAAAAATGTTGACCTAGGACTATAGTTGTTAAATTTCAACATAGGATTACTCAAGACGGACAGAAAGAAGCTGCGATTATGCATGAGGGTGATTTAGAGTGAATTGGGTTATTGTAGTGAAATATGTCCTCTGATGATGGGGATAATGAGCTGGCTGTGTTATGAAAACAGGATTTCTTTTCTTTTACTTATTTCAAAACATTTTAAAGCAATTCCCTTCGCCTTGCGTTCTCATAAGCCCTGGAAGAAGGAATTGTATTTTCAAGGCACATTTGTTATCATAACAGCTGAACTATGCTGTATATAAAATATTTACTATGTCGTTTAGGGTTCTTTTTTTTTTTTCCTTAAGAAGGGCCGTGCATAGTTTCAGTCGTAAGGAGGATCACCTTGCACAAGCAGATAAAATGCAAATATATTTGGCCAGTGATGTTTCCCCCTAAAATCCATGCTGCTCGTGTGGATTATTTTTAGGGCTTTCATTGATGCCAACGGAAGTGCTTATTTATCTACTTTTTAAGTGTCCTCCTGGGCTTTTGCTGGAAAACACAGAGAGCATCAGGTTTAAAAGCTACCTGCCCCTGTGCCCTGGACCTAATCTAGATTAAAACCAGGCATACTTCCTGATAAACTTTTTTTAAAAAGCTCCCAAATGATGTACAGGACAGTTTATGTATTGCCACAAGATATAAGCTCCTGGCGTCTGTGCAAATGAAACACTAAGTGCACATGGACTGGAGAGATGAAACCTACATTTATGTATTTACTTTAAATACCATAGTGTAAAAGCTTTTCGAAGCTCCAGCCTTCATGAGATGAGAGAGTAAGCAAACCAAGAAAATCAAGAAGGAGAACTGTTCAAACCACGGGAAACAATGTTTAAGTTAAGCTAGAAATTTAGAAGTCTTTTGTATCAGGGTTGATCTGGTGTAAGGATGGTTTCAGGTTATACCTAGGCTCTTACAGAAGCAGACAAGTGTGTGCATGAGCGAGCACACACACAAATATGTGTTTGTTTTACTCTCTTTGAAATCCACCCAGAAGCACCCTAGTGGGAATGAATCCAATATAGAAAACAAATTAATTTGGGCAAAGGAGTCCCTTACCTCTTCCAGATACACGTCTTCGTTCCAGTTGCCAACCAGCACCCCTGGACTGTAGTTCCTGCCACTCATGCTCGTCCTCACGTTGAACATGTTGGCTGGTGTGTGCGAAGGTGGAGGAGGGAAGCAAACCAGAATCCAGACTCCAACCCCTTGACCTTGGCGGTACCCGGTACCCGAGAGAGATGCTCATAGCCGGAGGGCAGAGCTGTGTTGTTGAGTTTACATGTTGTCATGGAGACCACGGGCATCCGGGATTGGCCCCGTAGAGGAGACTTCTGAGCCAATCAGAAGAGGACAGAATAAATGAGAAGGCAGGGGGATGCTCTTTGCCCTTTTTTCCTCTGTTAAAGGTAGGACTTTTATCTATTTTAGGAAAGAGAGACAACACGAGCTGGATTGGAGGAAAGACTGCAGGCAATTGATCACATTAGACGTTTAAAGGTGGAGAAATGACTCCCAGCAAAAGAGGCAGCAGAGTCTAGGAAGTCACTTTTTTCAAAGAGAACTTCTTCCCCCTGGTTGCCGCAGAGTTTTAAATGGAATCGGCTCTCACTGCCGTGGTGTTTGCTACTTTGCTTGTTGTGGTTTGCAAATATTGCAATGGTATTTGTTACGTTACTCATTGCTTCTTAAATATGCATACAAAAACAGGTCTGAGAAGAGAAGGACATCAAAACCTGATGAGTTATTATTCTTTTGTTGTTGTTGTTTAATCGTTTAGTTGTGTCCGACTTTTCGTGACCCCATGGACCAGAGCTCGCCAGGCCCTCCTGTATTCCACCTCCTCTCGGACTTGGGTCAAATTCATTCTCTAGCACAACTGCCTCCCAGAGTTGGGTCAAATTCATTCTCTAGCACAATAGCAGCAATCTTACTGCCTCCTGCTAACTACTCTTCATCCATTTGCTTTGGCAAATCTCAGTTTTGAGGCAGGGTCTAAACTCCAGACCTTAATGACCAGATCATCCGGCTGCTTCGGATGTGTGTCTGGGCCTTTTTTATATATCGATCCCTTCTTTTCCGTCACATCTAGCCTGTTTCTGGGCAATTTGGAAAGTTGCCTGTCTTTATGGCACTTGTGTTGCTCCTAATAAAGGGAATATAGAAATTTGGATTTGGGATTATGATGCAACAGCTCCGTCTTGTGGTGCATTAGAGTTAATCTAGTTCTTTGCTTCACAACGCTTTTTGAAGCTCATCCTCTCCCTGGCTTATATAAGAGAACAAATAACTGTTTTCTACTTCACTTCACTGGAATTGCCAGATCAGGGTGGATTTTACTGTTGAGTTTTTTTTTTTAAAGGAATATGAGTGAAGTAGAGTTTGGGTTGTTTAAAATAATCTGATGAAACCAAGCGTCCAGTATCTTAAAAACACTGTGCTTTGGAATTCAAATGTCTTTGACTTCTTCCCTCTGGGGTTGGTTTTTAAGAATGGAATATTAGCCATCTTAGATTTTGAGAATCTGACTCTGGGGTGGGGAGCTTAGAGCTGTAACTCCCTTGATTTCATAACCCTGAGCCATATGGAGATGGGGGAGGAATAACACCTGGAAGGTGGGTGGGTGGGTGAAAGATCAGTGTTGGCTCGGGCATGTCATGAGAATGGTTGACAGTCGGATTCTGAAAGATCTCCTGGATGGAGAATGAGTGCAGGGAAATCGCCCCAGAGGGAGATCACAGTTGCGATACAAGGATATTTGCAAGTGGGATCTGAAGGCCTTAGGAATGGACCTCAACAGATGGGAAACCCTGACCTCTGAGCGTTCAGCCTGGAGGCAGGCAGTGCATCACGGCCTCTCCCAATTTGAAGAGACACTTGTCCAGCAGGCTGAGGCAAAGAGGCAGTCCTGGAAGCAGCAGAATCAGGGAGCTAGACAGGGAACATATTGTATTTGTCTTCAGTGTGGAAGGGATGGCCACTCTCGAATTGGCCTCCTCAGCCACACTAGACGCTGTTCCGAGTCCTCCATACAGAGCACGTTACCATCATCTCCCGAGACTGAAGGATGCCTAATCTAAAAAGGATGTTGAAAGGTGCATTTACTGAGCCAGTTAGCATCAATTCAGGCCATCGTTTCTATATCCACACAGGTAGACCTCTGGAGAATTTTTTAAAAAAGTAAATCAGGGTTTTTCAACTTCTGTTCCTTTGTTTATATTACTACTTCCTCCATTTTAGAAGTGTAAGAAAGTGCTAGAGGTTCTATTATTGACTATGTTTGAAAATGCACACCATTAAATTGATTCTGATCCGTTCCCATATACAGCGCCGGGAGTCGAGCGATGCTATTTTTAAGCTGAATGACTGCAGAAGCTCATGTTTCTTGCTCTTTAGTAGAAGAGTGTAGGCTAAATGTGTCTTTGCACATCCACTGTGGGCATCCATTTCCTCTCTAGCAGGAAGTTCCCCCCATCAGGGGGATTTTTAGAGTTTTCCACCTATTCATAATGTTGGGAAGGGACACACCCAGCCGGCCTCGGGCCGTTTTGGTGCAAGAGTCGTTCTGTAGGTTTGCAGCTGGGAAGATAAACTTCAGAGAAACACCATGGGGGTCTACGTAGAACCTGCTCTGACCCTTCCCATCACACCCATCCCCTTGAGTCAATTCCGTTTCTCATCACTAGTTCCTGTTTTCTCAATTTCTCCTCTCGAGTCTATGGTTTGGTTTCCCATAGGGACCTGCAGTTGAATTGCCTAGGGCATTCTGGGAAATTGAAAGGGTGGTTCCAGTTGTATTTCCCATAACTCCCCCACTGTTCATTGGTTCAAGCATGCTAGGAGATTAAAATAATAGGGCTTCCCAAACCTGGCCAGTTAGAGCTGATGGGAGCGTTGAAAGTACAGAAGGCTTCAAGAAATCTTTGTACCAAGGGCTACGGGCTTACAAGGGGAAACAGAAACAAAAGCATGAATTTAGGGACACCTACTGTAAGAGTTCTCTTGTTTTCTCTAATTCTACAACATTATATTTTAGAGAGACATTTCAGAGTTAACATGAATTTTCTGGACAACTTTTACTACAGTACTGCAGAAAACGTCCTTCTCTCTCTCTGTGTGTATGCATCAGAATCCTTCAGGGGTCATAAAGCAGTAAAGGTTGTCCAAAAAAGGGTATTTATTCCAGCTCTAGAACTGCTTCATTCATGTTTTTCTGAATCTCAGTTGTGTACTTCTCAGCTCAAAAAAAAAAACCCAAAGACATTTAGCATACATTTTAAAACCAACAAATACATTTAATGTCTATATTATGACAAAACACATTTAGAAATGTGCCCCATTTAGGTAAAGGGTTTTGAGAAACTAGTATTGAGAGGAGGCGAGCTCAAAAACAAGAATTTTAGTTGGCCTTTAGGCATTATTTTTGTGCACATTTTTAAAGGGGTCAGGGAGGACGCCTGCCACGAAATGTGGAAAATGGACAAAAGTACCTAGGAATGAATGAGTGCGAAATTAGCATGGCTTGAATAAAGACTAACCCATTCACATCGAAATTCTGAACCGGCAATTCATGCTTTGATGGCATGATAAAAGTTCTTTGCATCTTTACTGGAAATACTTGATCATCATCATCTTCATCATCTTAGAGCTGCAGGACTAATGACAGTGCACTGCGCTATTTTTGTCTTTTGCTTTCAACTCTTGTTAACCTGTTTTGGGACGCAACGGGAATGCTCCATTCAACCGCCCCGACTGCCTGTTTCTAATATTAGAAAAGACAGCGCCGGTCACTTCCTGGACGCATCGGTTTGCTTTTGTTCCGCAGAATTTCTGCAGTTTCCCCCGTTTGGGTCTCCTTCCCCACCCCTTCAAAGCGCCACCAGCGATATCAAGCTGCATGTGGAAGCTATTAGGACCAGCCGCTTTCGATTCCATACCACCGAAGCTTGTAGCAGGGAAGCTTCTGTTTTAAATCAGGCAAGTGGCCCAAAAGGGAAGGGAGAAAGGGTTATATATCCTTCATTTTTCATTTGCATGGAATAGTTTTCATGATCCAGAGAGAGAGAGAGAGGTTCTCTGGAAGCCGCTGGGGATATTCTACATTGATTTGGATGGGTCAGATCACACCTGATGGATCACACCTTGAGAAGTGAGAGGAGTTTGACGTACCTGAGGCTAAGCGAGGTGACTGTTTGTCCTGTTTTAGCTTGAACCGTCCTCCATTTGAAGGAGTCTCCAGGCCAAGTCAGAACAAAGATAAAAAAGGAGGCACAGACTGTCTACAGTAGCATATACAGTAGTTCTGATATATGATTCCCTGACAACACTGCTTGGCATAGAAGAAAAGACCTCATCTGTTTGTACTTCTCCTTAAAATCGGCCAAGTCAGAACAAAGATAAAAAAGGAGACACAGACTGCCTACACTAGCATATAGTTCTGATATATGATTCCCTGACAGCACTGCTTGGCATGGAAGAAAAGACCTCATCCGTTTGTACTTCTCCTTAAAATGATTCGTCCTTCCCCTTTAAGAGCTGTCCCATACCTTTTCTGGCACAGGGCGAGGGCATGCAATCTTTCTGGGATGATCCATTGAGATGCAAAATGGCTCTTTGTTCTGCCTTTGCAGATGAGTAGGTAAAGGTAAAGGTTGCCCTTGACATTTAGTCCAGTCATGTCCGACTCTAAGGCGCAGTGCTCATCTCCGTTTCCAAGCCAGAGAGCGAGCGTTTTGTCCGAAGACAGTTTTTGTGGTCACGTGGCCAGCACAACTCGACACGGAACGCCATGACCTTCCACTGAGGTGGTACTTATTTATCTACTCGCATTTACATGCTTTCGAACTGCTAGGTCAGCGGCAGCTGGGAGAAGTGACGGGAGCCCCTTCGAACTGCTAGGTCAGCAGGAGCTGGGAGAATTGACGGGAGCTCTCTCTATTGCGTGGATTCGATCGTATGACTGTTTGGTCTTCTGACCTTGCAGCACGGAGGCTTCTGTGGTTTAACCCACAGTGCCACCACGTCCCTTATTTGCAGACGAGTACCAAGCATTAAAAGAGATTGCCCTGAAGATAAGGACCTCTTAGGCACTGGCTGGGCCAGATCGCACTAAATTCCACAGGGTGGACAGGCCCACAGTCATCTCGAAATTCCCACTACCCACAGTTAGCAGTTAGGGTTCAATCAGACAGCAACCAAGAGATGGTGCCTGAGGGCATCAGAAAAATTCCCACACAGCCTTGTTTCTCCATTCTTTTACCTGGCTGCAGATCTCAGCTGCAGCATT